CTTGACCTCGTGCACCACACTGACCTTCCCTCCCTCTCTCCTCTGTCTCCAGACCCATTACTTTGGGCTCTGGTTCCAGGGGAAGACCCAGGCTCCGGCCCAGCGCTGGGTGGAACTCGAGAAACCCCTCAAGAAGCAGCTGGACAAGTTTGGCAATGAGCCGCTGCTCTTCTTTGGAGTCATGTTCTACGTTCCCAACGTTTCCCGGCTGGAGCAGGAAGCCACCAGGTAAAGAGACTCAGAACCGGCACATCATCACTGTGTAGCTTTAACGAATGACAGCAGGGACTTTATATCAGTGCTTTTACAGCTAACTTTCTTTATTGCACACTCTCAGCAGCCCTCATGCTGCAGAACCAACCTGTTCTATCCACAGAAGAAGGTAGAAGCAGAGTCATAGATGCTCTGTGTTTATGTTGATGGAAGTTAGGAATCAGCAAGTTTGTTGACGTTTTACATTCATGTCCCAGTGTCACTGTATGCTCACACCGATTTATTTAAAGGATCTTTTCTTTCCTGCCTATTGGGAGACGAGATGATTGATAACATCCTCATGTCTGGAGCTACAGCCAGGCAGCAGTGGGTTAGCTTAGCTTAGCATAAACGCTTGAGGAGAAATATTTTGTCAAAGGTTAAAAATTGTGATTTGTCTCTCAGATGTTGTGATTGCCATTTGAGTTTAATATTCAGGTGAAAATGCTTCGAGCAATGAGGTTAAATAGATTTAAAATGTTACCACGTGAATCAAAGCAGGAATTTGGAAAAATATTTCAACATTGTGGGCTCGTTTTTCAGTCCTGCTCCTCCGTGGAAACAGCTCGACGACAGCTAGAGATCGAGAGAAATTAAATATTGTTTGTGCAGTACGACAGTGAAAACGACAGAAATCATAGAAAAGGAAAAAAAAAAGAAAAACCAAGTTTATTTGGATATTAATTTTACCAAAAATGGAATCAACATGTACAACATTTTTCCAAGTCTTTACAAGTGCCATCACTTCTAAAATAGTTTCACATCCTACTGATATTTTAGTGTGTACATTTTTCATTCGTTTCCATCTTTTGTCTCCAATCTGCTGAGGAAACACAACCTGCAGTTCAACCGAGTTTAGTTCTTGTCAAGTTTTGATGAAATATCTGGATTTCAACCTTAGATTTTTTTTTTGCCAACAAAACCCAAAGTCACACGACTAGTTTAAGAATTGTTGGAAAATCTGTCGATCCTTCTTGTTTTTTTGTTGTGAATCGAGTCAATGAAAGACGCTTTTCAGACCTGCTGCCTTGTTTCAGAGAGTTAACCCCTCGCTGACACGCTGCGTAACGTCAGCCCCAGACTGCAGCCTTTGTGATTTGCTAATTGCGTCGTGTCAAATCGCCACCATTCATACCTAATTGACAACGTGAACAGCGGGCTTTCTTTCCTTATACCACGGCGAGCGTCCAAACACGTATACGTCTGAGAGCGTGAATGGACGCTTTGGGTGGCTGTGGAGAGGGCACACGGGGGTCAGCGGGTAGCGGACGGTCCGCCGTCTCGGATTCCTTCTCGCGTTCACACACTCGGACTCGCGCTCCGCGGGTCTGCCTCGCACCCAGCCGCTGAATTTGCGGCTGGATGTGGGAAAGGTCGACGGCGGGTCACGGCTCCATGTTTTGACACTCGAGTCGGTCTCGAGGTGTGTGTCATCGTGTCGGCCGGGCATCCTGCTGAGTTTCCTTGATGTTCCCGAGCGGCGGGACCAGACTTGAATTTGCTCAAATTTGAAAACGTTCAACAGTGTTCGATGGAGTGTCTGGAGAGTGTGTGTCTGCAGCTTTTGTTATACAGAAGCCAGGATCTGCTCTGGTAAAGGGATGGTATTCCAGGAATCCCCTGCGGGCTTTCATGGTGTGTGTGTGTGTGTGTGTGTGTG